CCGATAATTAATCTATGCACAATATCTACGACTTCCTCGAAGGTTTTAATTTACTTTGTTCTACTTAACTACAATATTGTATTGATTGGTGTATGGAAAAGATGAAACAACTCGATTTATTTTATTTATGCCCAATCTAAAATGGCTTTTATATATATTTTGATACTTAACGTACTTTTATACTAATGGTAGGATCATATTTGGCCATATTGATCACATTCGATTGAAATTAAAAAATTATATGGATGGATAAGAGAAGTCTTGAATTGATCGGAGTTATTATCAAAAAAAAAAATTAACGCATTTCACATAAGTGGCGATGCGTGAAACAGTCAAAGCGGAAATCGTTGTATCAAAGAGCCTATTGTTATCCTTTGGAATGAATTTCAATATTGCATACTTCATAGAAAGTTACGTTCATATTAAATGCGGACATAAAAAAGTTTTCATGTTGCACATCCCCAGGACCGCTTTGTACTATGCATGAACTGCTCTAGAACTTTCCTTTGAAACGGTGAATTGAATTACTGGACGTATATTGTATTACTCACCTACTAGCTTGTCAGTTTTGCTTAAAAGCGAAAGGAATTTAATTCTGACTGGGGGTCCATACACCCCTCATTTTGTATTTTTTATTTGTGAGTGAACTTTTGATAGCACATTATAAGTTTTGTGTTTCATGCTTAATTACATACATAATATTTTAAATCTTTCATAAGAAGTAGGTACTAATAGGTCAAATAATAATTGATCTGTGATATTGTATTTCTATCGCAAAATTTAATTATAGTTTGATGACGATACTTTTTGGCCTTTGTTCGTTTTAGTTCAAAGCCTTTCTGGACAAAGACTTGCTCTGAAATTCATGCGTAGACTGGCTGTCTCAATATCGACTTATGATTGAGCTAGTATAACACGTAGATAGTTATTACAAACGCAAAAACCACTTGCACTTAACGATGGGTAAATCAGTTAATATAAGAACCGTAATAAATATAAATGAAGATTGATTTTTGAAAGCCGATCCCTTTTTTTGAAAGCAGACCCCTTTTTAGAAAACTACTGCAGTTGCAATTTTATTTCATAGATACCGTTCATTACTTCACTCAATCACTCATTAACTGAGTGACGACAAAATATTTTATTGTAAAAGTAATCTAGTACAACTGAATAATACATTGGCTAGAACTGTCTATTTATATATATCGAAGCAGCATTAATTTTCTCTATTATTTTCCATTATTTTATCCTGAATTATACAGTGGGCGTTATATGGGAAGTGTTGGTTCAAATGAAAGTCGATGCAATCACAGTTGTATTTCAAATTAACAATAATCACTTTGTACATAGTTAAACAGCACTTCACTACACAACCATATACCACTTCACTATTACCACGTATAGACAATACGGAACGCAAGACAGTTCCTAGTGGAGCGGTCCTAAGCTTGGCTCGGCTCGAAGGCAAGTGTCCAGCCCTCTTAGCACCCCTCCCTTAGCTAGGCTCCGTCGTAGCACGAAACTCGCCGAGTGTTGGTGATAATACCGAAGGTGCTGCCATCACTCAGGCGTCGTGCCGCGCTTCGTTTAGCGACCGTATTGATGACCGTCTCCGACACGGCCATCCTGCATGCACACGCCCTCGTGTGTTAGCCGTGTGTTAGCCTGCAACCAAATAATCAACGAAAATACTTGCTCGACTCGGTTAATCCTGACCAGATAAAACTTAACTTTGAATCTGAATCATCTTTATTCTAACGAAAAGCTTTAACGCTAACACCTTTGTTTTTTTTTTAAACTCCAAGTCACTGTAACTATCTCTAATCTAACTAATAACATTAGTCATCCAGAGCCATGTACCAACATCATTCAACACTTCAGCAATCAAACTAATTTTCAAATTTACTAGCACCTCTGTAAACCACTCTTAGGCCACGGCCTTACAAGCCAACCAGCAATAACAATTGCTCCACAATCCAGGTGCATCCACTACGGGATCACCGTATGTATCATCCTCTCGATGACTACACACTATGGTCATAACAGACCCCGACCTCCGCCAGAACTAAACGCACATCACACACCCACGGTCTATTTACTTTGAGCTTCCTCAAAAGACCGACTTTTACTAGGCTATGACTACGTAATAGTTACTAGTACGGTCGACACATCCACTACAGGATCACCGTATCACCCTCTCGGTGACTACACACTATGGTCATAACAGACCCCGACCTCCGCCAGAACTAAACGCACATCACACACCCACGGTCTATTTAGTTTGAGCTTCCTCAAAAGACCGACTTTTACCAGGCTATGACTACGTAATAGTTACTAGTACGGTCGACACAACTACGGCCGTCAGAATGCTTACATCGGTTTCCATCGACTTCATTAAAACATTTGCTTGGCATGATGATCATTATTTACATCAACCTCTATTGGTACATGACCTACTAGAATTTTTGTGTAAAGAATTTATAGCCGTCATGTTAATAGAAAACCTTTCAATATCTCATGTTCTATCATGATACCATTTTGTAACTAATAATTAGGCAAAACATAATATTTCAAAAGATTTCAAGAGAATGACCGTTAATCGTTACAAAACAAATTTTACTCTGTGCGGAATATTCTGTTTTGATCAATACTAGAAATTGCAAGGACAAAATCGTTAACCACATAATTTGACTGCTAAATGTTATCTTACTAACGAATATTCAGCAACATGATTATAACAAAAGCAATACAGATTACCTCTATGCCATTGAGCATTCGAAGATGGTTGTACAACACATACATCCACGCGTCGTTCCGTTCGTGTTGCACCCATATTGCTGCCGTCCACTTGACTGGCACTACTTATGCACCGGAGCGTGATGTGACCAGGCTTGCCACATTTGAAGCACACCAGAGACTTCACTGCAGGCTGCAATGCCGTTGCTGTCATCGAAGGTCGTTCCACACCCACATTTACCTTGTTTCTACACTATGACCGCTTATGACTCACTTTTCTGCACTTATAACATTTTAACATTAGCTTGGCTCGTTTAGCATCAGGCACTTTTGAAAAATCATCAGATAAACTAGCTTTGCGTTTCAAATGTGAGAATGCGTGCAATCCCTGCTGCAGTCGATCTCGCGAAGCAATTTTCGTAGTAAAGGCCAATCGTTGTAATTTCGAATTAAACTGACATAAGTGAGCAAGGACAGTCGCAATTGCTATCTGATTCTTGCTAGCGTCTTTCCAACGATTAGTCAGTGACGTCATCAGGCGATTTGCGTACGTAACCAGTTTCTTTTTTCATTTGGTTTGTCATTGTTAAAATTAATTAGCGTACCAGCCAATGTCTCGGTGGAAATAAATCTCACCTTGAAAATCACTTTGAACTCTTCCTATGTTATTCTCTGGTATACAAATTGTGACAGCCACGTCGACCCTTATCCTTTTAATTCCTTACTGACTGTTAAAATAAGCTAGCCGCCGTATGGAGGGTATTCGGCAAAACACAAATCTACAGTCGCAAATCAAGATCTTGCGTCCGTATCCATATTGTCAGGGTCAAACTCGTGTAACCTGACGTTCTTCTTCATCCGAGGCATTTGCATGGCCTCGATAAGAGATCACATACTGACATTTTGTTGTTCAAACATAGCACGTCATTGTTCACTCAGAGTTAGTTCTTTTTGCAATTGAACCAACACTGATCCCGCTTCTGATATCGAAGCAGCATTAATTTTCTCTATTATTTTCCATTATTTTATCATGAATTATACAGTGGGCGTTATATGGGAAGTGTTGGTTCAAATGAAAGTCGATGCAATCACAGTTGTATTTCAAATTAACAATAATCACTTTGTACATAGTTAAACAGCACTTCACTACACAACCATATACCACTTCACTATTACCACGTATAGACAATACGGAACGCAAGACAGTTCCTAGTGGAGCGGTCCTAAGCTTGGCTCGGCTCGAAGGCAAGTGTCCAGCCCTCTTAGCACCCCTCCCTTAGCTAGGCTCCGTCGTAGCACGAAACTCGCCGAGTGTTGGTGATAATACCGAAGGTGCTGCCATCACTCAGGCGTCGTGCCGCGCTTCGTTTAGCGACCGTATTGATGACCGTCTCCGACATATATTTATATGCATTTCCCAAATTTCGTTCACTAGAGTAAATTATTATTAACATGCGAGAAAAGTCGCGTGCAAAACTCAATTATTAATAAACTGTTGAGAATACTATCAGATAGAATAATATTCTGAACGTGTAAGTTGTCTGAACGTTATTAGTTCTTCAGTCCTGTCGTTGCACAAACGACCTAGTTCTCAATGCAATTTGCCCTCCAACTGTACTTACCTAAGAACATAAACATAAACATAAAAGTGGTTTGGTATACTTCCATTATTTAGTCTTAATTATCATCGTTTTCAAATTTAACATTGTAATGCTTCTTCTTTGTTCTTTATGTTATGTATCGATTATGGTCGAGATAAAAATGTGCAAAAGTAGTTAGTTTAAAATAAGTATTTAAAAGCAAAATACCGCTCACTCATTGATTGTAAAATAAATCTCGAGAACTATCAGATAGTTTTTTATAAAGCTGTTTGGTTGGTAGCTCGTAGGTAATTCAAAGATAGGAGAAGTTAATTAAGGACGAATTTTGGGATCGATAAATAATAAAAAAATATATGAAAGAAAATAAATCTGAGAAAAAATTCAAAAAGATAAATTTATATAAAATGTCAAATACTCGCGTAAATGTTAGAAGATATTACATAAAAATGAGTTATTCTGGTTACACATGGCCCGCCCTTTAGAGATCGTATAACGAACGAACGAACGGAGTCGCTTCCTATAAGTAAGTATATTTGATATCATTTCCGAAGTACGTCGTCTATATCGAGTATAGAGCAAGTCAATAAATCCCAGTTTATTTACTCCATGGTCCTGCTTCTAACTAACTCGTTTAGTTATTTGTTTAAGACACAGTACAGATTAAATCGTAATTTCCAGCGCTTTTACTTTTAGATCTGCCGATGGACACAAAGTACTTTGATTTGGTGGTAGTGCAAAGTCCACAACTTGACTAGCCCTACTCCTTATTCCACAAGTCATAAGTTCGATTCCTGTATGGGCTCAATATTTATATACTAATAAATTATAGATTATACTAATTTTTCTTTTAATCTGCATGGCTATATATATTTTAAAGGTTGGTTTTGATATCAACTACAAGGTGTAGCATTGATACATTTTGCTGTCTATGTGATTATATAAATTTTCATAGATCCCTGATTAATTCTTAAAAATATATTACGGGCTGATAGACATCGTGTTAAATCTTATAATATTAAATGAGCAATTCTTGTATACGTATAAATTTATTTCGTATATCTCGGAAATGGTACTACTGATTTGAATCAAATTTTATTTTTAGGTTAAGGTACCTACCTTATACCTTATAAGGTTTTACTTTTAAGTTTATCTTTATAGGTGTCTTTTCTGAAAACAAAAACGCATTTTTTATATCTTGTCTGAAGGATGACGAGGCGAAGCTCGGTCGCCCAAGTACTTAACTGTTTATACGCCTTACGCGACATAAATAGCGCATAATGATAGTTTGATAACTACTTTCCGTTTACAACTTACCCTATGCCGTAACGACCTCGCGGAGCCCTATTTTCAGCGTTAATTTTTTTTTATAAATAATAGAGATAGAGTTCCGGGAGTTAAGCCTTTTTAATTGGAAATTTCCTCTTCTTTCAGGATCTTTTTTCAAAATTCCTTAAATTTCATTATTTTAGAAGTTATTAATGAAAAACTAAATCCCTTTTTTATCTTATTTTATTCATAACAATCGCAATTCTTATGTGCTAATAAACCCTTAAAACATTTTTCTAGACGTCATTCTGAATCGAATGAGCTCTCGCACATATTTTTAGGAGCGTTATTTCTATTTAACACGTTTTTGAACTTGTTGACTAGACTAATAACTTAACTGTAACTAGTTGATAGCCTGTGAAATTACCTACCTCTGAATACTAAAATAGATTTCTTTTTTAAACTAATATTATTTTCTTTTATCATTCCTCTGAACAACTATTGAAAAAATATTTTAATTACATTCAGTCTCCGGTGGAAGGCTTTTGAAGTTAATTAATATCATTAGTTTTGTATAATTATATAGAATTTTTAGATATTGTAGCATGTTCGTATTATTATTTTTATTTTCTAAAGCATGCATATAAAGTTAAACTACTTATTTAATATAAATTAGTATTTTTAAAGTAAGATTAAAATATTTTCAAGGCTGGTCTGTGGGAGAACGGCATAAGTTTGACACAGAAATCACTATCATATTTGTGAACTGTTAGCTACTTATACGAGTACAACTTATACAATTACATAGTCAGAATCCCCCAAAAAATTTCAAAGTCAAAAATAGTACACAATGATTTCCTGATATTGCCATAGACGTCGTTTGTTTTCTTTAGAAAATAAGAAAAATTCTCCTACAAACCCTTCATTTATTATTTAATGTATATTTTAAGTATTAAGTATCTGTTACCCGTGAGAGAAGTAACAAAATATAAGTATTTTTTTATTTCGGTAGAAAATCGTTAGCTATTATATACACACCCTCGCTCCGCCGGGTTCGTCCTTAGTTACGTTTTAACGCTTAGTTCAGAAATGATATATTTTCCCGCAGTAAAAAATATCCTATATGTAGACACGGATAACCAGCTATCGTCATCCCACATCATAATCTCTCCAGTGGTTTTTTCGTGATGCGGTCACAGACAGACAGACAAACAAGAACTCTAAAAACTATAGATTCGGCCTCTGTATCGATAATAATGTCTATTTCAATAAGATTTTCCAAAAAATATTTAATGTACAGATTCGGCTTAGTTAGAGTTTTACTATACGAGTATGTATACTCGTATGTAGATAAAATTTATTTATTTACGAAACAAGATTTTTTTTTATTATTTGTATGTTTTTTAATAATTGTTTGATATTTTAATTATTATGTTTAAAATTTCGATATTTATATAGTTACAAATATGGTTTTGTAAAACTTTTATTATAACAAAAAAATAATATTAGGTACACTTAATCAATTCATCGCGGTTAATTTCTAAGAAATCAAATGTTAACCGAGCCACCTGTGGCTTGGCAGTCACTGAAAGGTTAAAAAAGTTTTTTTACGAGAAATTGTATCTATCTGGTAACCCTAACAACACATCACATCAGACATTTTTGTGTATTTCATGTTCAGTTCTATGGCGCGTCATCTTTGCTATTCTTTTAGTCTAAGGTAAGGTATATTACTTTATGCAGCGGATTTCAACTCTCTACCATTACATACGCGTAAGCCTAGCTTTCTCCAGACTGGAAGGCAATTGTCCAGAGGACCATGTAACATGTAAACTGTAGTGCATTCTACTCTTGCCTACTCTGATATTCAGATACTACTCGATGTCTACAATCTATTAATTTATAATAAAAAATACGGCGATATAAAGGACTAATATATACAAAATGAGTGTTCATCTTATACTATATACAAATCTCGTGTCACGGTGTTTGTGGTCGCACTTCTCCGAAACGGCTTGACCGATTTTAATGATTTTTTTTGTATATTTGGTACACCACGCTGGCCAAGTGCGGGTTGGCGGACTTTTCCCAAGCAAGCGCGTTACCACTGGGCTACCACTTTTTCTGTAATGTATTATGTATGTACACAATATAGACCCCAAAACAATAGTCTGTTTGTATGTATGTCGTTTGTATGTATGTCGTTTGTCTGTATGTCTGACTGTTTGTGTGTGCGCGTTTCGCGCAAAAAGTAATGAACCGATTTCAACGAAATTTGGTAAAGTGATAACATATTACTCGGGTCAACATTTAGAGTACATTTCACTTCCCATATCTTTAGAAACCTTCCGCTGTCTAAACCTCAAGACAGACATACATCAAAACAATATACTAAAAAATTGTAGGTCTTGAAAAGACTTACATAAAAGTTCTCAATAGCATATGTCTACTAACTTAGTCAAATAGACGTGCGCGTTTCGCGTAAAAAGTACTGAACTGATTTTAACGTTTGTATAGTGATAATTTAGTACTCGGGTCAACATTTAGGATACCTTTTACTACAGGCAAATTTTTCATTCCCACGGCAAACCAGAATAACTAGTTCTATCAAATCGTCCTTAGAAATGTATATGGCTAACGTGGCTCAACATAAAGAGATAGATCAAAACATTTTACTAGAAAATTATGAGTCTTAAAAAGGTCTTTAGAAAAGTTTTCAATAGTATATGTCTATCTCCTAAGGTACACTCGCTATAACTATTTTCATTATTATTTATTACTATTTTATTAAACGTTATTTATTCTATCTATACATATAATAAAACTGTAGAGCGAAAGTGAATCGCTAGTTTAGAAAAGTTATTAGAAAAGTTCTAAAAATCGATATTTTCTTTCAGCACAACGTCGAATTCGTTTAAAATGTTACAGTCCTCGGTAGTATAGTGGTGAGTATCCCCGCCTGTCACGCGGGAGACCGGGGTTCAATTCCCCGCCGGGGAGGCCTTTTTTACTTTTTATGGGCATTTTCTGTAGTCTATATAGTTATGTATTCTATACTTTTTTCTTAAAGCTCTATACATTTCTATTTTTTAGCATACTAAGTTTATCATATAAAATATTCTAATTAAAAATTTATACGAACACATACCTATGTAATAAACGTGTTATTTTTTTGTTTAATAATGAATATTGTTTTATCGATATCTAATAAATATTTGCTTTTTGTGGTGTTATTTTATTGACTGCCTTGCTTTTTCTGGCGGTTACGATATAAGTGAAGATTAACAGAAATAAAGTGAGTCAGATAATAATGTTTAATTAAGAATACTTACTCTTCAGGTTTCGGGACAAAAATAGAACAGTATGTACATCGGTTTTTGTAAAATGTGAACGATTCGTCATGTACAGTAATGAGTTTTAACGTGGACAAGTCTATTTAAAAAATAGCCTTAAAAACCAATCCTTTAACATAACAAAATCAACCATTAGAAACGTTTAAGCCAATTCGTATTCTGCGACATAGAAACAAATGCCGACTCGATGAATATCTCGTTTATTTTCTTTTGGGAAATCTTTAGCACTTTTTTCTAACCGTTTCTACTGAATTGCTTTACTGAATCTCTACTGAATCCCATTATTCCCATTAATATTATAAATGTAAAAGTTTGGAGAATAGTTAGTCAATCACGCCAGAACTGCTGAACAGATCTGGATTAAATTTGGCATAGATATAGATTATAGAATATGGAATAGCACATAGGTTACTTTTTACCCCGGAAAAATGTACAGTTCCTGTGGGGTAGATATGGTTTTGTATTTCACTAAAATTCTTAAATCTTAAACTTACCGACACAGCTATATAACTCCATGGCTCCTCGCAGCAAACAACCGTCCTCGCGCGTAATGCCTTCAGTGGCGTTAAGGCAGAAGCAACCGTCGTCGTTGTCTAAGAACCACTCGTTTGCTGAAAACCTTGTAACGGGGATTTCCTCGTACACGGTATCGTATTGATAGCGGAGCTCAGCTGATCTGTAAGTACAGACTGAATAAAATAGACGTATCTATTATGATTAAAAAAAAAACAAGATTTTATTTAGAGTACACTAGGTATTAAGGAGGTCCTACTTCGGCTCATACATAGTATAATAATAATGTAATGTTCTCCCGATGATTTCGGCCATGACGGCTAATCTCATTGAGACTAGCTAACTGTGCTGGAGATATTATAGTGCACAAGTGTACGCGTAGACACAAGTTTTAAATATATAAATCTAACTTATCAATATAATTCTAATAATTTTTAAATATTTTGATCGACTGGACTACACGCGCGTCCTTATACATAAGATTTATACATATATGGTGCAGGTACTCAACAGAGAGCAAGGTATCCCTTATGTTAATCTGCCGCGCTTAAGTAAATCCCAAAATCCCCTCTAGGGCTCCCTTACAATATCTCTTACTATATAGCGTATCTGCTATTTTTTAATATAATATCATTGAATTATGTTATATAATTTGCGGCAAGCGCGAGTTAGCCGGTGGCGCCACATGGCAAATAATAAAAAAAATAATAATAAGTATTTATTTCAGATCAATATATAATCCATAGTAATTACTTGTTTAATTAAATAGTAATAATAAAATCTAACAGATGCTTTCAAACTCCATCAAGTTGTCACCGCGAATTTTTGCACATTTCTAAACAAAATGCATTAGTTGCAACTTCGACCAACAATTCTACTACATAAAGTGTCACATGTAAAATCAAAGCTAAATTCTGTCCGTGCGAATGTGTACTTATACAGCTACATTGATAAACTAACGAACCAAGACAAAGTCTTATAATAGTTTTATTTTCAAGCTAATCAACACCATATCACCTTGTAATAAAGTCACAAGTCTTCAAATTATATAATTATACAATATGCTAAAAAATAAAATGTATAGAGCTTTAAGTAAAAACTATAGAAGACAAAACTATATAAACTATATAAAATACCCATCAAAAAGTAAAAAGGCCTCCCCGGCGGGGAATTGAACCCCGGTCTCCCGCGTGACAGGCGGGGATACTCACCACTACACTACCGAGGATTGTAACATTTTAAACGAATTCGACGTAGTGTTGAAAGAAAATATCGATTTTTAGAACTTTTCTCTTTGTTACCTAAACTAGCGACACACTTTCGCTCCGCTCGGGTTCGTCCTTAGTTACATTTAAATATATCTTAAATATTGTATCAAAGGGCTTTAAGATGTTGGGATTCGTTCTAAGAAATAGTAAACACTTTAAGATGGCGTCCACTAAAATTAAATTATTTAATACACTCGTCCGTCCTATCTTGGAATACAATAGCATCTGGAACCCTCATTATGACCTACATCAAAAGGTTAGAAAGTGTTCAGAAACGTTTCCTCTATCATCTTTCTTACAGTGATACTACTAAAAATCTCTCTAACCATCACAATAGGCTTAAACATTACAAGATGACTTCGCTCGTTTGTCGTAGAAAAATAGCAGACATAATAACACTCTATAAATTAACCCATTCGAAAATTGATTGTAGTGAATTACTACAGCTTATAAAATTTAACGTACACTCTCGCTTGCCTCTGAGAAATACATATAGTCTGTTTTATACTCCATTGTGCAAAACGAATTTGAAATATCACGCCGCTATACCAAGGATATGTAGACAGTGTATTACGCTTTCTAAACAACATGATGAATTAGATATCTTTTCCACTAACATGCTTCAATTTAAAAGTAGTCTCACTAAATTCTTATCGCGACTTTAGTAGAAATGTTTAAATGTGTTGTTATATGATTTGTTTCTTTTTTTTGTATTTCTATAAATAGTTTCAGATTTGTTTCTTGAAATGTACCTACCTTAATTTTTTCTTAGTTTAACCTTAGTTATCTGTACATATAATAAAATTGTAACTAAGCCGAATCTGTACATTTAATATGATTTAGAAAATCTTATTGAAATAGACATTATTATCGATATAGAGGCCGACTCTATAGTTTTTAGAATTTTTGTCTTTGTTGTTTAATCTTAAAATATTGCCTTAGTTTTCATACATGTATTTACCAAAAATAAGATATTCCGTCTGAAATATATCTTCACGCGTTATTTTGCAATTTTTAAATATATATTGCGGCATTGTGAATGTGTTTACGTTGGCAGTGTTTCGATAGAACTAATCGATATATACACTCACTTTGCAAGTGAGCTTATATTTACCGAGACGGATTTCTTACGTCGATCCGATATCTAGTAGTATTGTTCATCGAAGAGTTGCAAGCTCTACATTTACGATATTGATACTCGATTTTGTTTTACATTTTAATTAAAACATACAAAACCTTACTTACCTACAAATATCCGTATTGAGAGCGAATATAGACTTATCTCTGTTAACAAAAGGAGGAAAGATGCCGGAATCTGTGCCATTGATCATGTTACATACACTTGGTGCTTCCGATTCTGTCTGGTTTATCCAGTTTTGAAGGTAAGCTGAGCCATTGTATGTAGAAATTATCCCTAATTCATTAGCGTCAGCGATACCTCGCGACACTACGTATAAGTCGCTGGGTGTTTTTTGTTTCTGGAAAGAAAATAATATTCTGTTAATATTATATCAGTGGGTAATAGGCTTTTAGTAACATTTTTTCGCCCGCGTAGTTCATTTATTTATTATTGTAATCTCTATAAACTATAGCCTATATTTCTCTAGTATATAAGAAATATAACTGTACAATTTTGTCAAAATCCATTTTGTAGTTTTTGCGTGAAAGAGTAATGAATATATATCCATACAATTACTCTCATAAACTGTCGCGTTTATAAAATTAGTAAGATAAGTGTTTTTTTAGGCCTAATTATGCCAATATTGTAAATTTTAAATAACATACTGTAAAACATTCAAAATATGGGAAACTAAAAATCAATATAATAAAACCGCGATAATATAAATCTGTTTGTTAGTTCGCTTGGAAGTTGAAGGAAGGATCCTTCACGCCGATATGTAATCAGGATTGACGTGAATTATTCTCAGACATAATTTTTTGGTTATGTCATAGCGCTGTTTCATTCTAGCTTATAGACATAGGTTTTCATAGTTTATTATTATAATATATGAAAAACTAACAATTTAAATAGTTTTCGCCCAGTGGCCGATTAGCCCGATATTTTTTTATTGTTAAAACTAAGGCTGTTGATCAAATAAGATAAGAGGAGAAAAGGGTACTGAAGAGAACTGTTTAGTACTTGCCTATTTATATATTATTGTATAGGTTAACCTCCTTGCGGTGTGTACCTACTACTACAATATACTGTATTTGCACTTCTTTCGCTAATGTCGCTTGGATAACAGGAAATATCTAATATATAAAATTTCCATGTCACAATGTTAGTTACCGTACTCCTCCGAAACAGCTTTACCGATTTTTACCAAATTTTATATGCGTATTCAGTAGGTCTGAGAATCGGCTACTATCTATTTTCCATACCCCTAAGTGATAAGGATACGGGTGGTCCTCCCAGACCCCACCCCAGGGACGAACCCGAGCGGAGCGAGGGTGAGTCGCTAGTTTACTCATAAAAACTAAAAATAAAATAAAAATTAAAAACCTACGTCAAAAAAACATTAAAAATCTTCAAAAATATCTGATTTGGTATCTACCTATAGTAAATGAAAACTACCAATCAGTTATTTCTTACTTATTAGTGTTTTTTTTGGTTTTTATTTTCCCTTTTTAGTGTAGATATAGTAGTAATAAAGTAAGAAGAAAGTATTTTTGAATAAAATTTAATAAAATATTCGCTTAAACCGTTAAGTTAGTTTGATGCCAATTTTTATATAATATGAAGACTGACAAACTAAAATTTGCTTTTATTAGTGACACTTAAAATTCTGGCTCTAAAATCCAATTCTAACGTATTGGGCTTGTCAAATCCAACAAAATAAGCCCAAAGTATCTGCTATTAGCCGTTGAAGAGTTCCACTTATCCACCTTCTTGGCTTACCATCAGATCAAGTCGACGTTATCGAACCACTGCACGGTCAATGGAAATAGAAACACTTGCAAAGTTTCAAGTCAATTAGAAGTAGGTAAAATTTTCATTACCTATTTTTCCTCCCTTAAATTGTAAGTATACACTTTTAAATAAAACAAAAATGGTCCAAATCGGGTAATAAACGATGAAGTTCTGAGGTAACAAACATAAAAAATACAGCCGAATTCAGAGCCACCTCTTTTTTGATGTAGTCGGTTGAAAAGGGAATTAAACCCGTGACCGGTAAATCGCAGTAGACAATGTCAAACACATTCAACCGTACTTTAGCGATTGCTGTATTAGTATGTTTTAAAGGTTTAAAGATAGAATGCAGTTTGTAGAATTTTCACGATGTTGTTTCCGATATAGATTTAATGGGAACGAGCGTAGTCAAAGAACTCAATCCCTCAAGCAATTAACTTTAATTCCGAACTAATGATTGGATCTCCAAGAAAAAAGTTTTCTTGAAACCTTTCATTTTTTATAACTGGAGACCAACTGTTATGACATATTTTGGTCTTAGCTATAAATTATGTAAAGAAAATATTGAATTCATTTTCTACTCTTTTATCTGTCGTTTTATGTTTTTTTTTATTTATAGTTTCCTAATAGTACCATCTTTTAATATTAACACTAATGATTCATTCCATAAATCGTTAGATGCTTACTTCACTTCGCAAAGTTAAAGGTACATATGATATACATTGGTCTAGGTTATGGTTAAAAACAATCTATATGTAGACAACGTTGTATACCCCGGTATAATATTAGCTAGAACAAGCTTATGTCAATTCAGGCTATCTCTATTCCAATTTTTCCACAATTTCCTTGGAATTAACTGAAATTGGTCCAGCCCGAGATTCGAACCCAGGACTTCCGAATCTGTGAATGTTAACTGGGCCACCGAGGCAATTTGAGAAAATGAAGCAGAAAAAATGAAAAATATAATCATTATGTCATAGCACTGCCATAATAGCGGTTGGTTATTCTTACGCAGAAGCAGCAGAAAAGGTTCAAACAGCGGTTAATAAAATCCATGACTGGACAATATAATCTATACATATAATAAAACTGTATAGGTCAAATGTCATGTGTCATGAATAGGAAAAAAATGGTAAAAACCGAGTCAGCGAGATGTAAGAAGAGAAATAGAACAAATCGAGATTTTTTCAATTTTTTTATTTGTTTGTGTTTGTACGGCCTAATCTCCGAAACTGTAGGACTGATTTAAATGAAATTTTGCATAGTGATACCTTATATCCCCGGTCAACATTTTAGATACTTTTCATCTCGAAATATTAAATAGTTCCCGTGGGATAGATTTGTTTTTGTTTTCCTAGAGGTGAACCCGAGCGAAGCGAGGGTGAGCCGCTAGTCTATTCTAATATTATAAAGAGGAAAAATTTGTTTGTTTCTTTGCATCGAATAGCCTCCGAAACTGTTGAACCGATTTAGAAGAAATTTGTTAAGAAGATAGTTTGAGACCCTGGGAAGGATATAGGATAGTGTTTATCTTGAAAATTATCCCTTAAGGGGGTGGAAATGGGGGTGAAAGTTTGTACGAAGAAGCAATCTAAGGAAAATAAAGTTAAATAAATCAAAATCGGTTTCGGGACTTCACCAACAAAAAAGAAGATTACCATCCAATATTTATTAACAATAACATCATACCATATCAAAATACAGCAAAGTATTTGGGAATGACGCGTGGCGCGAAGTTACGCTGGAAAGCTCACGTTAAGAAGAAAAATATGAATTGGAATTCCGGTACAAAAATATATATTGGCTGTTAGGAAGACATTCCACTCTGTCCGTACACAACATAATATTATTATACAAAGATGTCCGGACAGTGTGGGCTCAGTGTGTACCTATGGGATACAGCTGTGGAACTGTACCAATAAGAGCAATGTTCATATCATCCAACGATTCTAAAATAATGTTCTCAGGGAAATAGTTAATGCGCCCTGGTATCTCCATCGGGACCTCAATGTATAGATTGTCGATAAAGTGATCAAAAAATATGCAGAAACTCACGAGCAAAGACTTCATAAGCATATTAATATCGAGGCAATTCAGCTCCTCGACAACACGGACTTATTAAGAAGGCTTAAAAGAACTAAACCTTTTGAGTTAGTGTAGTGTTAAAAAAATAGTGTGATGTATTGAAAGTAATTTAGTGCTACCAATATTGAACACAAGAACAGAGTGTCTTCCCCTTAATTAGAGACTATAAGAAAAGTGCCATTGGACACATTCTTAGATATATTATTTTATAAAACTAACTTAAAGTTAAATTACTTATTAGCCTTTTTGGCTAGATCGTAATAATATTGGGTTACAAAATATATATATGTAGTATTGTTACCTAGAAAAAAAAATTATGTCATAGAATCATAATTAATTTTAATTTTATAATTTCTTTTCGTTAAAAACTGTGGAATGGCATGTTATCTAAGCCCTTTGTTTACAGGTAAACGATGTTTTTAGATGAGGGTATAAATGCGCGAACAGAGTCACATGAAGAAGCTAGCCAAGTAATAAGTTATTGGATCACGATTTGATATCACAATGTCGAAACTACGAACTTTAAGTCCTTACTGATGATTTTCTTTGAAGGCTTATCTCACGAGTTATTCATTTGAAATTATGAAAATTACTAAAAATATCATTAAAAATCGCTATTCTATAATTGCTCATATTTTCGGGATGGATGATTTTCGTGATAAAAACTATATCCATCTCGGGGTCTCAAACTATCTTCATACCTACCATACATTTCCAAATTGCATCTAAATCGGTTCAGTGGATTAGTGAAAAAGTAACAGACAGACAGACTTACCTTTGCATTTATAATATTAGTATGGATTTGATTTAACTCTATGAAAATTTCAATAATACATTTTTGTTTGTCCACTTTAAGTAGTTTTATTTTAATCTGCCCATTAGATACAGAATCGACGGCACACAGAGAGACGACGACAGTTCTATTCGCTTCGACCAAATATAGAGTCAAGTTAAGTATTTACTTACATATTTCAGAATGCTGAACAGCATCGATCCATCAGCCATGTTTTCCAAATTTCTCACATCGACTGCAAGAGACCGTATTTGAGCGCAGGCAATGATGCCTATTAGGCCAGGGTCCTTGCAGATGGGAAGACCGTCTAACAGCAAGTCCCCAACACGCACGGTCATGATAGGACCACTATTAATTCCAAATATATCCCGAATAGCTAGATTCAAGGCAACCATGAGGCCGGGGAATATCTTCTCAGCCGTTTGTAGAATACCCTGTAATAATACATATTTTATTTATTTTATTCATTTATAAGCTCTGATAATTCAATTTTTGAAGTTACACTTCTTTTAGCGCGTTAGGGAAAAAAATATGATCATGAATTTTTACGTTTCGACAGAATTAGACGACAGTATCAACTTAATCTTAATTTTGTTACCACGAATTAAATAAATAAATAAAATAAATAAATAAATCTTTAAATCTTCCTTTTGTATGATATGATGTCTATATTCAAGATATTTATTCCGGTATTTCTATATACACAACACGCGTTTTATTTCGATAGAAATAAAAATTATTTATGTGTTTTTAATTATAACATACAAACAACATGAAACAACATGAAATATAGCATATGAAAGGACTATGTTAGCCCTTATATAATACAATATAATGAATAGAAGACTCATAGCTCTTACATCTTATTAATATCAAAGGGATTTTTATGTTCTGCGAAAGTAAAATTCAGATATTTTATAATTATGTTTATTTACTGTTTTAGCAACAAAGTTTTAAATGAATATATAATATAATATAACAGTTCTAATTTTACTTTTTGCTCTGCTCATGGTTTACACAAGCTACTACTGAAGTAATAGCCCTAGAGACAGAGCGACTGCGTTACTAGAGTTAAAATAAAAAAATACATATTTCATGTCTATGTATATGTTACGGGATAAAAAAGTATCAAAACTATACTAATATAAACTAAATAAAAATAAAGTGTCACTCAGGAGTTTATACTTGGTACCCCAAATTGAGTTCATAAGGTATTTACACGAATATACTAAAGCTCAAAGCTGCTCACAAAAAAAAGCTGCAGCTGGTCACAAAGTTCACATTTGCCACCAAACGACTCGATCAATTTTAACAGAACTTTTACTGGCGGATAGAGCAATCGGATGAGAGAAAAAATGGTATTTGTTGTCCTAATACGCTAGCAATGTCGCCGATGAAAGTTAACAAAGGGAAGTAAACCAAGATATATCAAGTATTATAAATGAGTATGTTAATAATAAAATTAATTACTGTTCAGGCCCTCAGGCTTCGTTGCAGAAACTGTTATTTTCTATTTAATAAAGTTACTCTTAGATAATTAAGACCTGCTTTTTAAAACAACCATATAACGGAATACAGATGCAATATCCATAATGAACCAAATAAAAATGAAAACCAACTCTATAAGACTGGCACACTTGCTCTTGTATTAGTGTGTGTAAGTACTGAAATGTGTTTCTTTTATGCTTTGTACTCTTTTCATTATAAAGGAAATACATCGAAATTACAAATATATTTAATCACGTACAAATACGCGTATATACAAAACTTTATTATTACTGTATAAGTTCTGAGCGCGTGGAATTGTAGCAAGAGTGCTAGATGCACTAGCCAGCTGAATGGCAATGCCGATTATTTGGGCGAAAACGGGCGAGCTCTCTTGTCACCGGTAGAGATCTTGTCTGAAACTTTGTACTTGAACTAAAAATAAAGTCGGTAAAAATATTTGTCATAAAATCGCTTTTTATTATTTCATCAGTAACCCTAAGGCCCTCAATTCGAGACTCAGAACCAGCAAATATATTTTTATTGTATAAATACTAGGTTGTCCGTAGTTCTGCCAAAAATTCTCAATATCAACCTGCAGTCGGAATGTTCGTGGAGTTATACCCCTGTGTCTAGGAGAGCACGTAAAGCCGTCAGTCCTGCGCCCGATCTTTCATCGATCGTGGAATAGTTGTCCCATTGAACTTTTAGAGTGATAGAATTTAGAAATAATTAGTAGTAATTTTCTATCAACTATATTTAGCAAAGTGTTGATAGTAAAGACAATTACAGCGGGTTTCTTAGTTTGTTATTTTGTTTGTAGGTAAAACGATGGAGAAAGCATCGGCTCAATATTTTGCTTAGAAAAATAAATTTAGAAGAAAAAGGATAATACCCTCGCTGCACAGTTTTTAATCTTCAATAAAATCCTCTGTTCAAAATATCCTGTCTGTATCCAGACGATAAAGAAAATAAAGAAAATAATTAAAAATCTCATTTCATTCTGAGGCATGAGAAAAACCAATACTAACAATGCTATTTACAACTTTATACCTTCTATTCCGGTTTATTAGGCGCATTCTATGGGTTATTAGGATATTTTAAAAATTTTATTAAATTAAATTAAAAAAATCTAGCAAAGTATGTGATGTGATTATATACATCAATATGCTACGTCAAAGATTCATAAATTTTTAAACAATAAAGTCATAAATTACATATGAAGTCATAAATTGCTAAGTAAGATGGGCCCAATGTAAGTCTTAATTTTAGCGATTAGACACTTGCTAGTTTTATCTAGCAGACTTATAGGAATAAAACAAAAAATAATATTGAGTGCATGAAGTTTACAAAGGCACATCCTTTAGCGGCGGAACTTAATAGACCTGGTCCGAATGAAAAAGATAGGGCAATAACTAGGGCCAGTTAAATATGGGAGATAAAAATATATATTGTTCAATTTTTAGAACTAGCTTTGTATATTATACCCTTGTAAAAGGTATCGACGTCTTAGAAGTTGCTCGCTTGTAAGCACGGCACTTTGCTCTAAAGTGCTCTCTCTGACTTGTTCGAGATACTTATCAGGTAATCTTTGTGTTGTTTTTACAATATTTTTGTAATTATCATAGTTGCTTTATAATTGCTTTATTATTTTCATTTTAAAGTATAAAGTATTATTTTGAAGTTCTTTCAACAATTTCAGTTATTTGTTCTTTACTAGTTATTTAATAATTATTGCTTTTGAATAATGTTTTATTATTATAACAAAATGTATGTTTTAAAATGATTGTCTATGTTATCAATCTGCCACATATAGAACGTGCCAAATAAAAAGATTTCTACAGATTTGTATCATATATATATATAATATATATATATATATATATATATAAATATATATATGATACAAATCTTGTATAATATATTTTTTTTAAATATAAATAATGTAGGTAAATTAGAAAATCTTGTAAATAATACATTAATGAAGCATTGGCAGCGTGCTCTGATTTTTGTTTCGCATGAAAGCTCCGAAATTCATCCCACTAGAATACGTCAGCACTCTTATAAAATGATACGTACTTTACCTATGACGTCACATTTAAGGATCAGAACATGAAATATAGGTGTTACTACGGTGTTTATGTACTATGTTGGCAACACAACTGCAAGACTCGCAGATAACCTCGGTTCGATTAAGGGCAGAAGCCTTTCGACACACTTTACCATGTCACACGTTTGTTAATATTTTTAAAAGATATTTTAAATACTTTCTTAGATTTACACGAATATTTGACATTTAAAATAAAATATCAAAATAACTCCGCAAAGAAATCCGAAAATTAAATTAGTTCCTGTAGTAGAAACACGTCTGCGTAACGCGTTGAAAGACCTCGGTTCAGTTCCGGGCGGAAGCTTTCGGCACATTTTCTCAATAGTTTCTTGTTAATATTTTCTAAAAAAACTCTTCTTCTTTTGAAATAAACTTATTTTTGCTTAAAATATAATTTCATTTTTAATCTTCAAAACAATGGAGTGAGTTTTGAAATGAATGTATGTTACGTGTACTTTTGTAATAAAATAATTCAATTTTTGTGGTTTATATTATATAATGGCTTTGAATATAATGAGCAAATTGTATTCAGCCCTTTTTATCGTCCCACTGCTGAGCATGGGCCTCCCTTCAGTACGAGGGGAATCAGGCCATAGTCCACCACGCTGGCCAAGTGCGGGTTGGCGGACTTCACATGTCTTTCGAAAACTTGCTAAGTTCTCTCAGACATGCAGGTTTCCTCACGATGTTTTCCTTCACCGTAAGGCAAGTAGTAATCATGTTAGTAATGATTCGCACATGAAAATATCAGAGGTGCGAGACCCGGGATTTGCACCCGCTTCACTCGTTTTCTCAAGCGAGCGCGTTACTACTGGGCTACCACTGCCTTATCGCAATATAATGAGCAAATATAAACTGTAAAATTAACTTAATTTCTTTATTTACATGAACAACCTTTCACCTAAGAATATTTAAGAGTGTATTTGTTTCAAATATACATTTATTTTTATATATTAGCTTACATTTTAATATGTACATTAGCTATATTTTGGGGAGCCCCGCATTGGGTGCCAGCAAAACATGCTTAAAAATTATTTACGATATCTTTACTGTTTTTTTCAATATGAATATAATCATTTAACAAAAAAACTTTATTGAAATAAATTATTACATTCATTTTAATCCATTTGCTTTTTAAGGTATTTCTTCCTCATAATCTATACTATAATAATATTATAAAGACGTAAAGCTTGTGAGTTTGTGACGTTGTAGGGAGTAATCTCTGGATATACTGAACCGATTTAAATGGGTAAGAAGATAGTTCGACACCCTGGGAAGGACATAGGATACTTTTTATCCCGAAAATCATTTATCTGTGACGTTACATTAGGACCAGGATACCTAGTAACCGGTGAAACCTTCTACTAACAAAAGGTTACTAATAAATATCAAAATCTTTTCGCGAAATATATATCCGAAAAGATAGTTTTATTTAATTAAGGGTTCCGTTAACCCTGTGTTTCATAAAAAAACAAAACATTGTGAATAAAAAGTAAAAATATGTTTCCGCCCGGAATTGAACCGAGATCATTTGCGAATATTGCAAATGCAGTGCCACAACACTACGGAAACTTAACGTTAAGGCGTGTATTTGGTGTTCTGGTTCAAATTTGTGACGTCACAAATAGTTCATATACGACGGAGAATGTACACTTGTTTTAAACTGAAAAGCGCTTGCGTTTTTGAGAACCTGTTTTAAATATTGGTAGTTTTCCTAACATAAAAGATATAAAAAAGTGATGTTTTTGTTTTTCTCATCTTGTCTCTGCAAAAGGTTTAGAATGACGACGAAATTACAAATCAAATTACAGTTTAAAAGAAAAAGGCTTTTAAAATCGA